TGAATGTAGGGACCCTTGTTATGCTGTCGTGTTAGTGTGGGGCTATTTTGAGCCTTGTTAGTGGTAATAACAAGCGATTTTTATTTGTCATTACTCTATGCCCTATATACTAGCATTATACTAGCGTTATAGGCTAAACTGTTTTTAGAGATAAAACTATTTACATTCGGCAATCATGAAAACAAATCTCAGATAACGGTTGACTAGGTAACAATGTGTAATTAGACCAAAGGTTCATTTTGCGCCGGAGTTGTCCTTTAAGCAATTGATATGCTATGCTACGCTATGCTAATACTATCAAAGAGTTTTGTTATCAATTATCAAGTTTGCATTTATTGAATTGGCTAGTTAAAGCTTTCAAAGTTTCCATTTCTAAAAATATTTAAATTGAGATTACATACAGTGGTATGAATAAGTTTTGGCACCCATGCTAAAGTTGCCTAAAAAGAGGAATAAAAAAATCATCTTTTGGATATTGATCTTAATGCCTTAATTAGAAAAATGAGGAAAACTCCAACCTTTAAGGACACACATTTTCTTTGTGAATGAATAATGTATCATAAATAAATAAATATTTTTCCTTCAAATACAGGGTGCATAAGTCAGGGCACCCCTATGTTAAATTCCCATAGAGTCAGGCAGATTTTTATTTTTAAAAGCCAGTTATTTCATGGATCCAGGATAATATGCATCCTGATAAAGTTCCCTTGGCCTTTGGGATTAAAATATCCCCACATCATCACACACCTTCCACCACACCTAGAGATTGGCATGGGGTACTTTCCATAAGATCATCTTTCAATGCAAATCAAACCAGCTATTAGGCTAACTGAAGTAAAACCATGCCAATCTCTAGGTGTGGTTGGAGTTTTCCTCATTTTTCTAATTAAGGCATTAAGATCAATATCCAAAAGATGATTTTTTATTCCTCTTTTTAGGCAACTTTAGCATGGGTGTCCAAACTTATTCACACCGCTGTAAGTTTAAGGTTGATGTATTAATTCGCTCACTCAAATATTTCAAATTATGAGCAATTATAATGCAAGAGTACAAAATAAAAATCTGCCATTTCTTTTCTTACTGAAACTTTGAATATCTTAACTTTAAAACCTTTATGTAAAAAAATATTGCCTCAAAAAAAAAAAAAGTTTTGCCAGCTTATTCGGGTTAGTGTACCTTGCTTGATCACATAATACTGCATCTATTAGCAGTAGCAGCTTAACGGCTCTAGTCCGCCAAGACCAAATATATCCATTGCCATATTCAATAACATGCTAAAACTATTCCAAGAGTTGACATGATTGAAATATAGCTAATATTTCAGTGTAGGTGTAATGCTTTGATTGGTAGACCGGTCTTCATTATTATGGGTAGTTGTTCACAGGGATTTGGCAAATAAACAAGATTTCTCTAAAATTAAGCTAAAATCACACTGACAAGCGTCTGCTATAACAGGAGCCGGATCACATGAGCTCCATCGTCCGTTCGTCTGCATGAAGTTAAACTGGGTTTATTTTTACTGCATTGCTGACAGCACCATCTCTCTTGTTGTCACCACAAAACCTCAACTCTTGCGGCGTGAACACACTCGCTGGCTTCCAGTGACGACGCACACGGACACAGTGTGTTTAGGAGGATGTTGTGTGGAGGAGATTAATGTCTGGTGCTCCGTCTCAGAGGCCTTCTGACCCTCTCTCGGGTTACTCTACTGCTGACTCAAACCACACAATGAGCAAAATAGGCTACTCACACAAACAGAAAAAGTATGAAAACTGCATACATTGTGCTAATATGCTGCTAATAGCATGACAGAACAGATGAAGAGTGATTTATATACAAGTTTGAATATGAATCATAGCAGTTAAACACACCTGAGAAGAGGAGCTATAGGGGAGAGTGTGTGTCAGAGCTGTTTACAGTCCTGCAGGCCTGAGTAAACACTGGCAGAGTACTGTGCAAATACAGGAGGCATAAACATGACACACACGCACCGTCTCCAATCCATCTCAGCACGAGCGGGCGGGACGGGGCACGTTTCTGCTCAAACAAAATTTAATATTTTTTTTTGCTGACACCAGATCTGTGTTACAAAGCAAGACTAGAGCAATCAACAGCAGAGATGAGGATTCGACTAACTGGATCAGGGTCCTCACACACTGTAAAAGTAACATGCTCAAGTCCTCCAGCACACGAGTTCATTAAACCCTCATTAAAGCTGAGTTAGTGTATAAGGGAAGCTGGTCCTGTTCTTTTCTTATAGCACCTCATTGAGCCGCTCCACACACACACACACACCTGGAGCAGCAGCAGGGTCACACAGAGAGCGAGACCTTTTTGAGCCGGATCACGATTTTTAAAACACCATTTACGCAATTTGTACTGTAATTTTTACTCACACACAGACATCAAGAATCAGCATATGAATCTCAACAATGGTGACATGCTTCATGCTGCAATGCATTCTGGGAGCCATGGATAAGTTTCGTATGATGCACCCAGTATGCATTGCACCATGAAGCATGTCACCATTGTTGAGATTACTTCACCATTACTTCAAGTTATTGCTCACCAATTTTTTTTAAACAAGAAAAGTAAAACCAAATGAAAGTCCAAAGATTTTTTTTAAATGTGATATTTATTCATAAGCCCTCTATAAAAAATTGTAATACTAAACCACGTTTACAGTTGATACTCATAAAGTATTTTTTTTTGTAAAATGTTTACCCCAAAATCAAACCTTACTTTACACATGTACAATCTTTACAACATTTCAAAGCAAAGAAAAAACTAAACAAACAATGGAACAAAATAAACAGATATAAAGATATACATCATTTTCATTTAACAAAGTTAGAACGTCTCGCGTATCAGAGATTCTTGGACGAGCGGAATATTAAGTACATGCCTTTTGGCATTTAAAGAAAGCTGCTTCATTAGGACAGACGTTCCCGCGTCCTCCTCATCACTTCCTGTTACCCATCAGCCTTTGCAAAAAAAAGCTTAGAAATGCTGAGCGCCGTTCAAATATTTCGCCGAAGTAGTATTGCACCTTTGCCATGAACAAGTGACCCGCTCTTGTAACATATCAGACGTGCGGACCTGAATATCCTTGTTGACCTTTGACCTTCACGAATGAAGTTTTTCCCCGATTTAAGAGGAGATTGTGTCCAACAGCAACTCTGAATCTGTATGTAGCGACTCGAGCTGTGCGACTTACAGACAGGTCCTCAGGTTATGCGAAGTACATTCACAACTCTATCCAGTGCCCTCTCGTGTCAAAACAGTCAAACATAAAGGCAGAGTACAAAAAGGCACACACACTTGCGCACACACACAATTGTATATCAACCTTGCTCTGATTACAACAGTTTTTTAAATAGTCAGATCCTAATACATATCAGTCATATTTAATGTCGAACTATTAATAGGGAACGAGTCAAGCACAGGCTATGCTCAGAATGGATAGCTCTTACTAAATACAGTGAAGTGTACACTGTTTACTACCTGTGAAAATAGCAAGAGCTTGTTTAAAAGTAGAGTAGGCAAATTTTGGAGCGGTTAGCATTAGCAAGTTAGCTTTGAAAGCATGAGATCCCACCCTCCCTTCTGAGAGTCCACAAAAGTTTAACATCACAGGTTTCCAAATCTCTGCTAAATTACGGTAGTTATGGCGTGAACGCCGCATAAACTCGTGGTTATACATATACATATACAATACATATGTTAACAGGCAGGAAGGACATCCTATGATTGCATTCGGAACGAGTGCAATGATTGGACGAACACTTTATGGTCCTACGCCTTCCACAGACGATAATATCCACTTAAATACATTTTGGCCACTTCATTTAATGATTGCTTTCAGGATGTGAAGAGACTTTCAACCAAGCGGCAACTTTCCGGCGTCCGGTCTAACACGGAAGTGATTTCAGCTGCACTTCATTCAGACAGGCGGCAAAAGAGAGTCAATCCCATAGACCCCCATGTTAAAATGCCCAACTTTACAGCAGAAAAACACAATACAGCCTCGTGCAAAAAGTGGTTTTGGTTTGTATATCTTATTTTGCCCTTCATGACGACTGTGAGGAGGGTGAATTTTTTTTATAACTAATACGTTTAAATAATATTATGCATTAAAGTTGTGCATTAAGGGCGTGGCCACTTGAATGACAGGTGTCACTGCTATCCGTTTGTCAGCGGTCTGTTAACGTCACGTCTCCTAAGCTAATCCGCCTCGATGCACATTTTCGGTTATCCAAGATGGCGACGGTCAGCTCCGCCCACTTTGGGCAAAAAAAATGCCCTTCAGAAACATACGGGCGACGTTACAGACACTGATGGTGCATTCTATTATTCATCCGTCTCTGAGATCCGAATCGAACCTTGGATTTCTCGTCTCGGACATCGGACAACCGTGAGGACACCGAGCAAGAATTCCGTTTCGGAATTCAAGATGGCTGCGCCCTGTGACTTGTAAGAATGAATTGTTTACATTGTTTTTGAAACCGCTTTGGTATTTTAAATGACGATTATAATCACTCGTATTACTGCGTCCCCTGTAGGTATGGGAATCGGTTGTTGTGCAACCCGGTCTCATCCCAAGACGTCATATAACTGACGTTTTGGGACGTCTTTTGACCATACGTCAATATTCGCCTTTCTAGGGCCCCCTTAAACGTCGGTAGATGAGGTTATGGGATCCTAACTCTACCCCATACCTAAACCTAACCCTAAACCTAACCCGTCACCTAACTGACGTTAAAGGTAAAGCGTCAGTTGTATGACGGCCCGGGATCGCCATCTACCGACGTTTAAGGGGGCCCTAAAAAGGCGGATATTGACTATGGTCAAAATACGTCCCAAAACGTCAGTTATATGACTTTTTGGGATGAGACTGTGTTATGTTGTGAGTGCAATTACTAACGTTGCTAGCGTTGCTAACAGAAGATTAACATGAAAAACTTGAAATAAAGTGAACATTTTCAAGTTCAAATGGCTGCGTTTTGATAAGGTGTAGTCATATTTTTATTTAAATGTAAGTGCCTGGTACTCGGCCAGTGCTACCATTACAACAGCTTTCTCCGACTCGTACAAGCAAAACATAATAGAACGCTTGAAGTGTGGACGTGACGTCAAATCCGAAGTCCGAGTCGGTTCGTTGGCTATAATAGAACGCACCCGGGGTACATTTTTTTTTTACAGTCTATGCTGTAACAAGTCACAAGTCGCCTACCCTGCCTTTAATGCAGCAATTTATCATCTTGACAATAAAAATCCAAATTACATTTGGTTTTCTGATCACATTCGTTCCTCTGGTTCAGACATGACTGGAAATAAAAGTTAAGCGCTTTGCATTGTGGGATACATGTGTTGTCTACTGCACATTTTGGCAAATGTACTTCTGTAGGTCATCGGTATCGGACGATATATGGTAATTTTATGTTATTGGCCCGATAAGAAAATTTGGCCAATATATTAAAGTGGACAAATAATGGATTATTTATTTCAGCTGAGACTCTTGTCAGATTGCTTGAAATATGAATCACTTAAAAAATGAAAATACGGTTCAGTGCAACATATCCAGCGCTTGTCTATCATTAAAGCTACATCAAATTTAAATAAGGACGTTATAATTGTGTGTTTGGGACGTGGCTTTTGATGGTGAGATTTTTGTTTTTGTAATCAGGCTCTCAAAATTTCTATAAAAATTTGAATTTAGATTATCGGCCGATATATCGGTTAACTAATTATCGGTTATCGGTATCGGCCGAAATGTCATATTGGTGCATCCCTAGTGAAAATATGCATTCTGTGATCAGTACACACACTTCAGCAGTAAGAGCTATTCTGAACATAGCCACATGCTTTCCTTCAAGGCTCTCTGCAATAAACAAACGACAAGGCCAAACGTGACCGTGAGGACTTTCTGCTGGTTCATTTTGTAAATCTAAACGGATGGGGTAAACGGTCAGGAAGCGAGGGGTCAGTGAGCGGCGTCACTTCCCCTGCAGGGCCGGGGCAGTTGTTAATGGGGTGGCAAGAGGTGAAGGACTGACTGTAACACATTTAGTGCCACACTTCTGGGTCATATAGATCCCAGCATATAAGACATTTTCATCATCATCATCATCATCCATTGGTTTTGTAATGAAACAGTAACACTGCCAATAAATAAACACTAATGATAAAAACGTACATACATAATACTTGAACAATACAGTGAAGATTGCATATTCAGAAATGACCATATTTGGCACAAAACAAGAACGCTGTGATTGTGTGAGCCTTTCTAAACAGTGGATGCTCCTTCATGCATGAATGCGATTGTCCCTCACAGTGAAGAATGAGACTGACTGGACAACAAAGTCTGAGCTCCGACAATCCCTTGCTTTTAGTGCCCTGACCCTGGGATATTAGGGTAAAGAATCAGGTGGATTTCACCACTAGGACTAGCAGAAATACCCCGCTTGATGGGCACTAAATTAAAATAAAACAAAAAAATGAGCAAAGAAATATGTAAATACAGTGCAGGATGCATTTGAAAACTAAAGAAATGCATCAGATACAGTAATAACACATGTCGGAATAGTTATTCAGGTTCTTCTTAGGTGAATCTCACAAATTCGATTAAAGAGCAAACAAATCGTGGTGTCCAGGCAGACCTCATGATTTTCATTAAAGTATTATGGTTATGGGAATAACAATTTTCCCACATTACAGCAATAAGAGCTGAATGTCACTATGAATCAGATTTAAATGGTCCTAAAATCAGTGTTCATTACGCAAAGCACATTTCTTCATGATTTTGAAGTGAATTGTGGCCTGGAAGTTTCTTTATGAGATTCACCGTTTTTCCTTTCCTTATTTGTAGACTCGAACACAGATTAAATTCAATCACTCCTATCAAATTACTAATTTTAAAGTGTCAAAACTTTGTTTCCCTTTGTTTTCGCATTAAAGTGTTGAGTCGGCAAACATAAGCAACAACAAATCGGAGTAAGACATTAGAGGAACAAATGCCCAAAGTGCAGCCGATAAAAGGATGGCGTCCCATCATGTGCCACCATCTGAAAGAGGAGACGGGGCCGGGACGGTTCCTCTCTCACTGTATCAGCAGGCCGTGTGCAGTGCAATGCATACAACATCAGTTCACCCTCTCACAACGACTATATCGTCCACTTATACAAAAATAAATCAATCGAAACCTGGCAAGATAAGCCTCTGTACATTACACTTATATAAAATAGCTTTGAATATTTACATATAGACAACAACAAAAACACACACACGCACAAAAACACAAGCAACCTGTCCTGTATAATATACACCTGAATAAAAAGACATGTTAAGAGGTACTGAAGTGTATGGCTTGATAGGAGATAAGTCCCTAAATATATATATATATACATAAATGAAATTCATATATTTATACTTATATATACTTAAATATCCCTGGAATTATGAAAGTGACGTGCCCAACACAACGCCACGGCCTACAACTCAAGGCTTCATAGTCATCCGCCATGTTCTCCAAACCAAGAGTTTTGCTTTGGTGATCTAAGATCAGATAAACGAACGGTTCATTTAAAATCAGATCCATTAGATGACCTCCCCGAAGAGAATTAGGACCATCAACTCGATATCTTCCCAAAGTTTATGGGTATACCTCCAGGTCCTCTGTCAGAGCATCCAGTGCAGGCCAGCTTCTTATTTCCAATGCATCTCTGACTTTGGCCCAAAGAAACTCAGTAGTATCCCGAAGTCCAGTGCTAACAGAGTAGGGACATGCCGTTTGCAGTGAGCAGTTGTCCACTGGTGGGGTCGTAGGTGCCGGCCAGGTAGTACAGGTCGTGAAAGCTCCCATCGGGCCTCCTGTTGCGGGTCAATCGCTCGTACTCCTCGCGTGTGACCACCTGGCACTTATGAGAGATTGTCTGGACGTCGTTCTCATCCTCATGGCAGGACTGGTACAAGGCATGCTAGGGAGAAGGAAAAATTCATAATTTCCTTCTACGATAACTAGGGTTGGGTATCGAGAATCGAGTATCGATTGGAACCGAGACTAACTTTTCGTTTTTCCCGGAATCGTTCAAAAGTTAAAATTTCGATTCCTAGTTTCGATATTCACAGTACGCCGAGCGGAAGAAGAAACTGCTGAACAACACCAACGAAGAAGCGTCTACCGGAAGTGTCGGCATAACCACGCGAGTCGAACATGAGTACCTTACGTCGGCGATCCAAAGTGTGGCTTCGCTTTTCTAAAAATAACGAAATCTCGGCAAAATGCAAAATTTGTGACAAAAGGAGTATTTTTACAGAAGGAGTATTTCCTTCAGAAAGGATTATTACCTTCAGAAAGGCCGTTGGTTAACAAGGTTAGCTAAACTTTTTTGACCCTGCCTCTTAAAAGAATCGGAATCGAGAATCGTTAGGAACCGGAATCGAAACAAGGAATCGGAATCGTAATCAGAATCGTTCAAATTCAAACGATACCCAACCCTAACGATAACTCTCAATACCTGAGAGCAAACTTACATTGAATCAACGTGGAAACATGACATCGAAACAACGTTGATCTGACATTGTTTTGCTCATCGAATTAACGTTGAACCAACGTCAGACGCGTCATTCTTTCAAAACTAACGGAAAATCAACTTGAAATCAACGTTGTTTCAACGTTATGAAAGCAAACCAATTTTCGATTTTCATTTAGCTTTGAAGAATGCCGCGTCTGACGTTGGTTCAACTTTAATTCGATGAGCAAAATCAACGTTGTTTCGATGTCATGAGAGACGTCGTTTCCACGTTGATTCAATGTCAGTTTGCTGTCTGGGTAGGTATTGCTCAGGGATTAGCATAATAAGGCTGCCCTCAATAGTCGATTAAACGTTAGTCGATCAAAATTGTATTCGTTTGTTGGGACAGATGAGGGACAGATCAGGTCCTTCATCGACCTAAAATATGGCTTATCATTTGAAACACGCTAGTAGTAGCAACTTTACTAGGCCGTGCGCTCGAATGTTACCTTAGATAAATGTGCGCTATTATTCGGCACATCTCCAGGTGTTTTCGCGGAGTGAGGAAGCTAAAGGGTTAGCGCGCTTACTGAATGACATTAAAGGGACCGGCTTGATCACTTGCATTTTTTTTCGTCATTTTTAGCTATTAGATAAGAGTGATACATCATTTGAAACTGACTCACAATAACAACAAAAAAACAAACAGGATGTGATTTCTGCCGTCTCGGTCTCTGTGAACTGGAGTGCGTCGCAAAAATGAACCGAAGCACAGCATATATACTTTCCTCACACTCATTAGAAATATCTTTATAGAAAGCTTTAAATGAAATTAAGCAATTTAAATAAAATGTAATCCGTATGAAAGGTGCATTTTTCTATAAAGGCACGTCCCCTATCATCGTCAACTGCATATTTGCAGCCGACACTGGCTCAGAAAACACTAGTTTATTAATGAATATAAATGTCTCCTTACTATTTTTTAGACACATTCCTAATCATTAGTTTTGGAGGTGATTTGTGCAAGCTTTATATGTGCGATTGAGCGTGGAATAGGCTATATATTACGCCTATATTAAAGGCTCATTGTGGTTTAGCATTCCCCCAATATACATTTAAGTAAAAAATAATTAATATAAAAGCACGATTAGTCGACTAAGTGACCGACTACTAATCGACTAGAAAAAACTTCAGTCGGGGGCAGCCCTAAATACCAATGTTTCAGTACTCACTGTCAAAACTTGGTTCAAATATTAATAGCATAAGTCTATCATAACTGACAGGCTTCCAGATATCGGATACTTACTTTGCCATCACGATGTCTCTTGTCTAGCTTGGTCTCTTCAGGGTGATAGAACCACTTGACCTTCACGACCATGCTGTTCTGCCACGACTCCCAGAAACTCTCGATGCAGCCGATCAACGGCAGATGAGGCTGGCCGGTGGAAAGAAACACAGCACAGTCTCCGACCCGAACCACGTCCTTGCCTCGCACTATGGCCTTGTAGAAAAGCTTCCGCGCCTTTCCCTTGCGTCCACGCCGCTAATGTAATAAAGAGAGCTTCAGAGTTTTGCATGTGTTTGTAAAGCACAATTATTTATATATTGTTTCCCCTTTAAAACACTAGATTTGATCAATAAATAAATAGTATCCTCACATTCCTTCAACTTAAATCCAAAATAACTCACAATTTCATGCATAATTTAATTCAGCTCAAAATATCTTACATACATTACTGTCTTTGCTGACCTCTTGTGGAAAAAATATATATATAAGATGATATTTCATGACTCTAGCCACTAGATGGTAGCCTGTTTAAAACCAGACCACCAAGCGTCATAGACAAATCATTTCCAGAGGGGCGTCACCAACGGACATCGCGGATAGACCTAAAACCAATCAGAGCGATGAAGGAGATGACGTATGCGGAGTGGCGGAGAAACATTTCGGAGTGTTTTCTTTGCTCGGTTTTTAACAAAAAGGAAACGTTCAAGTCGCTTAAAACAGACGTGATAAGCTGATTCGAATGAGTGATGTTCGACGGCGGCATCCATCTACAAAATATGCTTCAATCGTGTCGTCATCGTGTAAAGCCCGTCCCAACGTTTCTGATTGGTGCCTCGATTTCGATGGATTGGAAATGGGCTTGAATGAGCTCTTTGCCAGACCAACTTTCAGAGCAAATCTAAATTTGCCGGAAGTTGTCTCGGTTTTCTAGATGGGCTTATAGCTCTATATGAAGCAAATGAGCTGGCCCTTTGTGCCCTAAAGTCGTTTTTTTTCTTCAGTATGCATTCGGATACATATGTAGACATTATAAAATCATTTTTACAAAATTATTTTCAGGTCAAAATGACCCGAGGGAAGGATGAGGGTGAAGTTTACAGGAATGAGATGGACTGTTTCCAACCAGACCCATCGGCACTTGTTAACCACTCACTAAACAGCTTATTAAATATAGTCACTGGCTAGAAACTCACACTATTGGTTGAGCCCAGGGATGCACCATATTGGCATCGGACACCATAATGGTAAGTACCAAACCACAATCCTCTATATTTGGACAATGTTTGAACCAGAAATTGACATGACAGAATTACTTAGAGCAATGTTTTGAAAGCCCATCCAACCCTAATTAAACACACCTGAACCAGCTAATCGAGGTTGGAGCCAAACTCTGCAGGACAGCGGCACTCCAGGACCGGAGTTTGACACATGCTTTAGGACAGGGTTCTCCAAACTCGTTCCTGGAGGGCCACTGTCCCAGCAGACTTTAGCCCCAACCCTGATCAAACACACCTGAGGAAGCTAATCAAGGTCTTCAGGATCACTAGAAACTCACATGTAGGTGTGTTTGATCAGGGTTGGGGCTAAACTCTGCAGGGACAGTGGCCCTCCAGGACCGGAGTTTGACACATGCTTTAGGACAGGGTTCTCGAAACTCATTCCTGGAGGGCCACTGTCCCAGCAGAGTTTAGCCCCAACCCTGATCAAACACACCTGAGCAAGCTAATCAAGGTCTTCAGGATCACTAGAAACTCACATGTAGGTGTGTTTGATCAGGGTTGGGGCTAAACTCTGCAGGGACAGTGGCCCTCCAGGACCGGAGTTTGACACATGCTTTAGGACAGGGTTCTCCAAACTCGTTCCTGGAGCTGTCCCTGCAAAGTTTAGCCCCAACCCTGATCAAACACACCTGAGCAAGCTAATCAAGGTCTTCAGGACCACTAGAAACTCACAGGTAGGTGTGTTTGATCAGGGTTGGGGCTAAACTCTGCAGGACAGTGGCCCTTCAGGACCGAGTTTGGGGAACCCTGCTTTAGGATATAAATCTGCAAATGTAGTTGCCTATGTACATTAACCTGGAATAGGTTAAAGCAGGGATAGAAGCTAGTATCATTTCAACAAGGACTCACTTGTGTGGGGTTTCCTGACCACCTCCACAGCTGTCTAGGTGGCAGGATTGGTGACACTCTGGGCTTGATCTGCTCTGCTAGAAGCCGTTGCCTCTTAACCAGATCTTTGGAGGTTTTCGAGTGTGAACTGGGACAGTCTTTCCTCTTCGGTGGCTTGCAGCTAGCACTGTGGTTGCTATGCCCTTCTTTGGCAGTGGGCACGGCCACAGCTTTGGCCACAAAGGAGTGTCGTACAGGTCCCACAGGGGGTTCAGGGGTCTGGAGCAATGAATGATGGGGGGTCAGGCAACTCTGGAGGAGCAACGTTGAGCTTTCCTCATCCTCCGAGCTGTAAGAAGAGTCGTTTTCAGAAGAGCACAGACTGGAGCTCGAAAGAGAGCCCGAGCTGGAGGAGCTGGAGGATCCCGAGGAAGACGAGGACACGGAGATGCGTGAGAGAAATTGGCCAGCTGTTCTCAAACCACCAGAGGCAGAAGCAAGTCCTGCGCTCGTCTTCACATCTTCTTCTTCCTCATCCATGTCCGAGTAGGAGCTTTGGCAGTCTCTGTGGCAGCCAATGTTCAAGTCTCCATACTCAATGGGTATTGATGACGAGGGCTTCCTCTGGACTGATGTCCCTTTCAACAGGAGCTCGGCTCGTGAGCCGTCACCTTTCCTATTGTCTTTGACCAGCAGAACTGGGTGTGAATACGCCTCTGCCCTGGGAAGACCACCTACCCCATTGGAGCCAAATCCTGAGGCTCCCAACAACAGGAGAGCCTTACCGTTCTTGGTCTTTGGAGATGTTACTCCCTCATGGTCCAATTTGACTAGAAACTCTGCTTTCTTGCCCCGAGGTGGTGCTGTCTCCTCAGTCCTCTTCTTTTGACCATAAGAGGTGTTCCTGCCCTCTAGTGAAATCCCGGATATCTGACTACCAAAGGATGAATGACCGTTAGCTATGCTGCTGAAGGAGTCTACCTCGAAAGAGCTACTGCTAAAGAGGCCTTTGGCCGGGGTCATCATGGATAACGAAGGTCGGGAGGACGTTTCCATCACCCTGCCTTTCAAGGCCTTCTTCGAAGAGGAGCCGTTGAGCTGGAAAATGTTAACAGGCATTCTCTTTCTGGGTGCAGCCATTGATGGCCATGAAATAGCAGATGTTGAGCTCTTGGTTACACTGTCCGAGAAAGACTTCTTTAGCCCTGAACCTTTAGGCCTCCCTGTAAAGAAATAAACGGTTACAGTAAACCCTAGGTTGAGCAACATACACAGAGTCTTGAGGTCCTGTTCACACCAAGAACAATGACGATAACTATATTTGCGCCAACACCAACAAACGATAACGGTCTTTTTATTAACGCAATTTCAAAGTATTAAAAATGGATGACCTGTTGCTGCTTTACGTTACACACAAACATCAAAAGAAAAACAGGCACTTTTGGGTACACAGTATCCTTAAAAGACGGGAGTATCCATAATGCCTGGTTCAGATTACACGATTTTTTTTGTCTGTTACGATAGTCACTGTGTCAGATTACGCGATTTTGGCTCCTAAAATCTTGGACAAGATGCATGTCAGACTACACGTTACTTCCTGACCAGTCATCGCATGCCGTCTTTAACGGCGCACGTGATGTCATCGAGAAGGCGAAACTCGTAGCGAGTGACTTCCTGGATTGCTCGGCATTGCCTTTTCAGCGTGAGAAATACACGGTGTGAACTGGTTGAAATGCGTGTGTCTCACGGCCATTGCGTGAGACTTGAGAACCCTGCTCGAAGAGGACAGTGTGGGCTGTCAATCCTCCAAAGAGAACTTGAGGTAAAATATCGTTTTCTTATATATTTTTACTCCTAGTTTTAACGTTAGCACCATCGTCTCTCTTTCGTTTTGTCTTTTTTGAAAGTTGTGTACGGAAAAGCTTGTGCTCCTATTGGTCAACCTCATACATGTGACGGAACCGTCGTGGACGACCGTTAAAACATATTAAACATGCTAGTCTTTTTGTCGTGATGTTGTGAAGCATCGCAGACGCGACGTAGGTTGTCGCCCACTATGACACACTATACGAGATGATACGATCGAATCTTGTGTCCCGACGCCCATTGTCGTTTACGAATCCCCAATCGTGCCAAAATCGGGCTAAAATCGTGTAATCTGAACCAGGCATAACTCTGATTAGAGAGTTGTCGTCTTTTGAAGCCAGTTTATTCATTCTTTCGAACGAATCAATATCAGTTTTTTTTGCATTTACACGTGTTTTACCAGCAGATGTCCTCAGCAAGTTACGTTTCGAGTTCATCTAAACAAATTAGATCGATTACACTAGACTAGCTAGATTCACTAACAATGAATTTAGCTGACGAAGTCAATATTGGATTAAAAACAAAGCTAGCCTGCATAATGACCTCATCGTTAATACTTCTCACCCTTTATTCCAAGGGTACAACCGATTATATATCCATTTTTTTCCATTCTGATGACTTGTCAAAACAGTGGTGGATTTTTGGCGATCAACTTCTCCGCAATGTCGTCTGCCATTTTAAATGCGCAAACCCTTTAAATTCGAGTGTACTCTGATTGGCTGTCAGTGTTTTATCGTTTTCCTGTTTTATTTGTTTTATCATTATAGTTGTGGTGTGAACTCTGCTATTCTTTTCTATGGAGAACGATTTTTAGAACTATATCTTTATCGTTATCAGTATCGTCCTTGGTGTGAACTGGCCTTCTAAGGGCATTATTGGCACATTTGGAAAGCTGTCCATAGATAGGCAGACACTGGGTTTTGAGGCAAAGTGATAGTGAAATATGTTCTCTGTTGGTTTATTGAAGAGAGAATTGGCTGAGAGTCATACCTGGTCTTCTGACTGGCTTATCCTGAGCTTTGAATCTGTCTGTTCTTGCCATGGAGATATTTTTGTCAAGCCGTCCCTCAGGGACAAGCACAGGACTCGACTCAGTGCCTGAAAGAGCAAAGGAGGTGTCATTTTTTTTTTTTTTTTTGAAGCTTGTTACAATGCTATGTTAAATATATCTGAATTCAACAATAAAAGCTCTGTTTTAGACAGCATTTTAAGGGACCACAGGTGAAAGTAGGCAGCTTCTAAGACACCATGTTTTGGCCCAAACCTAAGGCAACATGTATTTATTAATGACTGTTTTTGTCGAAACTCTTGTGCAATTTATATGAGAAGTGTTATTTTTGTGACTGGCCATTAACAAGGTCGCTGACTAAATTGTTTTTAATCAATTACTTGTTCAACGTTTGTGGTTTGGTGCTGTTTAACTGGTGACAGAATGTTTGTGAGGAGCATGAAGAATCGTTTTCACACATGAAGTCCAGACATTACATTTATTGAAAGTCTTTGGGATTTGCTGGAGGAGACTTTACAGAGTGCTGGACTCTTGCATTGTCAATGGAAGATATTGACCAAAGAATGTATGCACCTTTTGATGGAAATAACATTTGATGGACTCAAATGTGCCAATTGATTTGTGAAAATGATTCTTCCAACCATTCTTCCTCAATCTGAGCCTGATGAATAATGACATCGTCATCCTGGGATATGATCATGATGTTCTTCATACATGGTTGTTTAAGAAATGAAAATCTACACACATCAATTAGGGTTAAAAGAACTGTTGCCAAACATATAACATGCTAGAAACATTATAAATCACAGCAATAATGACCCAAACATAGACTCTTAAGACTTTTTGGGGGGCCGGGAAGCGTATCTACAAAGGAAAGCATGGTCTTTCCCATGGTGTTGCCCGTGTAGACAGAGGTTTATAAAACAGAGCAAATTAGTGGGACTTACTTTGGATTTGATATCCGGGAGGAAGAAAGCGAATATTAGAGAGAGAGATCCATCCTCTGTCTCCATCATCAAACTCCACCATAACCCCACCGGGTTTACCTTCATCGCCACCTAGAGGACCAGCAGAACCAGTTAATGTAAAGTTGAATCGCTTTATAGTAGTTCCTTTGTTTGAATGGGTGTGTGTTATCAGGAAACAAAATAATATGCGACCCTGGACCACAAAACCAGTCACAGGGGTCCATTTTTTTAAAATTGAGATTTACAGTATACATCACATGAAAGCTGAATAAATAAGCTTTCCACTGATGTTATGATAGGATAATACAACTATTTGAGGCTGCAATATAATCTAATCATTGAGAAGAACCCCTTTAAAGGAGTAGTTCACTTTTGAAAAAACTTTTGCTGATAATTTACTCACCCCCATGTCATCCAAGATGTCCATGTCTTTCTTTCCTCAGTCGAAAAGAAATTAAGGTTTTTTTTTTTAAATTAAGGATCGCACATTTAATAAATAAATAACAAAGTTCAAGTTTTATAAGCTCAAATGCTCGCCTTGCTCTGTTCTGTGATGAGCGTTCGTGACTTTCCTGTTCGAACTCATTCATCAAAATGAACGAATCTTTTGGTTCATTCAACGAACGAATTGACTCGGAGAAAGATTCGTTCATTTTGATGAACGAGTTTGAACAGGAGAGTCACACAGAACAGAGCAAGGCGAGCATTTGAGCTTATAAAACTTAAACTTTGTTATTTATTTATTAAATGAGCGATTGTTTCACTTGATAAGACCCTTATTCATCGTCTGGAATCGTTTAAAGCCCTTTGAACAGTTTGCACTGAAACTGTCTTTTGGACCTTGAACCGTTTGGTTCCCATTGAAGTCCATTATATGGAGAAAAATCCTGGAATGTTTTCATCAAAAACCTTAATTTATTTTCGACTGAAGAAAGAAAGACATGGACGACATGAAAGACATCTTGGATGACATGGGGGTGAGTAAATTATCAGCAAACGTTTTTTTAAAAGTGAACTACTCCTTTAAAGTTGTAAATTTTTCGCGATATTGGTGCATCCACTCACAATTTTTTATTTTTTTTGGATATATTTACAGTAGGAACTTTCCAAAATATCTTTATGGAACATGATATTTACTGCGACTTGTGGTCCAGGGTCACACATATATCAATTTGAAATGATTATAAGGACAGGGAAGAATAGTATCTGTGTCTCACCCCTTCGCACATATCCCGGGTAAAGACATCGCGAGCGCTCACTCCAGTAAGCACACACTCTAGTCCCTTCTGTCAGCACAGTCTCGGTGTCAGGGCGTACGTCCAGTACCTAACACACACAGGAACAAACTTCTGTCAGGCAATGCCAATAAAAGTGTTCTGGACTCCCAAGATGACAAACACACACACAGAAGTCAATCAGTGAAGCCCTTATGAAAGCAGCACTTATCTCAAGCCAGCGTGTTGGGGCTGAAAGCCACGGAAGCGGAGGTGCGGTAAACACTAAACTTGCTGAGTAATAATGAGGAGTGTGTGAATGGTGCGACTGTGATTGCAGGTTTGCAGCGCCCAGATCCCTCCATTCAGCTCAAACCCCCTTTCAGGTTTCTTTAATTTACTGTTGCTATGGTAACAGGCTCTCTCTGACTGATGGGATGTGTGTGAGATTGGTGTCAAAGGTACATGGAGGATTGGAGCGCTCTGGAAAGTGGAAGCTCAGTGTAATTAGAGACAGCTGCTGTAGACCGTTTACACAATCAAACAGCTGGATGACACAAGTGTGTGTGTGTGTGTAGAGTAGAAAATAGAAATATGAACAATTTAGAAGGAAGCCGTAACAATAGGAAATGTGTTGATACAGCACACTACTGACGAGGAGATCAATGTAGAGCAAAATGGCTGATTAATTAAACATTTTCAGTTTAGTTTAGCAAAAAATCTAGTGATTTTTGTGTAAATACAAAAATTTTGGCATTTTTTTTTTTGGTTATTTGTCTAATTATCGAATAAACTTTCTTCAGGGTTCATAACGACTCTGTTAAGTGAAATTCCAGGCCTATTAGGGACCTTTAAAGCACTACTTTTTTTGGTTTTCACAGACTACAATCGCACTTATAAAACAATATCTTTATTTTTAAGGATTTATTTTACTCATATTACAGATATAAGGCATCCAAAATGCATCTTCTTATATTATTTATAATTAATCTATATTAAATACAGTTTATAATGGCTATTATTGTTCGTTGTCGTTACTTCATATCCAGAAATGGTCTAGCCATGTGTTAACTTTGCGTGAAAAGATATATATATATATATATATATATATATATATTTTATTTTACTTAATTTAATTTCATATTGTATTTAAATAAGTAAATCATTTTTCAAGTACCTTTTTCCAGGACTTAAATTTAAAAGTCAAATTCAGCACCTTTTACGAACCATTTATTGCATCATACAGTATATATATATATATGAAGAGTTCAGATGCAAAAGCCTCTAAATGCCATTTAAAATTTTCTTCTTTAATGATGATTTTTATCAAACTTGTATATTTAAGTTCAGTAATTTCATTTAAATAACAATTAATAGGTAATTATCATTGCCATTTAAGTGAAATTACTGAACTTAAATATACAAGTTTGATAAAAATCATCATTAAAGAAGAACATTTTTAAATGGCATTTAGAGGCTTTTGCATCTGAACTCTTCATATATATATATATATTTTATATATATATCATGCATGATTGCTAAAGGATGTTGAGCATAAATTCAATAAGTGCCAATACTATATATATATTTTAACTGTATTGACTAATCAGATTTCAGGACTATCCATTTTATTATTGCATATTTAAACAAAAACTGCGGGTCAACCCCTAATCTATCTAGTAAATGAAGACGTGTACTAAATCAATGTTTTGTGTCAGTGCCACTGATCCTTGTGCAAGATTAGATTAGAAATGTGGAAAACAAGCGAGTCAAAACCACTGATCTCTACCAACACAAACACACGAGCCAGAAGGAAGGAGGTTACAAGCTAAGCTGAACCGACGCCAAGAATGCACTGCGGTTTACACTATATAATTACACTCCATTGGCTCAGATTAGACACAATGTTGTTATAACCTGTGAAACTAACATTGAGGGAGAACACCAATGCCTTCAGAAACATCTAGATGGAGCAAAGCTGAAGGGGACAGAACCCATTTAACACTCATCCATAAAATAGGCTATGACTGTTATCAAGCAGGTTTCCTTCCTAAGATATGACTGAATTTTCATTTTTTGAGGGACTTTAACTTTTAGTGCCAGATTTACTAACAACTTGTGTCAGCAGAAAACCTCTTTTGGGGTAAAAAAAAAAAAAAAAAAAAAAAAAAATTCTGTAAGGATTTACTTTTATTTTCGCACTGAAAAGGCGTGAACACAGTTATTTTTGCATATGCATTTGTAGGAGTTTCCCTTTCAGACACAAAATGTATGGCAGGAGAGTATTTAACCCTCAGGTGCTCTTCGTTTCGGAGTCACACTTGTTATCTTCATGGTCAAAAGTGACCGGACACCTAAAAATGAAACTTTCTCCATCCCAGTAAAACCAATGCAATTTATTTTTGTTCTATAATATTTATTCTTTTTAATTTAGTATTTTGAGACAATTTAAATGAATTTATTAATATTTATGCAATATTTATGGTTTATTTTTGCCATAGAAAAATATATATTATTTTCTTCAAAAAAATATTAATGCAGTATTTTAGTTTAATATAGAGTCTAGGAAAAAAAAATAAAAAATATTTTTTGAAGAAAATTAGCACCATCTGGTTACAGTATAGAGAAAAAGCGTAGAATCATGGTGTAACCACTTGATGGCATGTACAGCTCTCTATGGAGAGGCATGTGAATTCCCCAGCTGTTTATGAACACTTTTTTGTTGTTGTTGTTGGTGGATTTGTATATATAGTTGAAACAATCTCAAAAACTATTTCTTATAAAAAAATGACAAAAAACAAATATTCACAATTTGTTTTCTTTTTTTTTTTTTTACAATTTCCCATTCATTTCCTATGGGGTCATTTTTGACCAAAGACCACAAGTGTGACTATTTTTTTTAAGACCACTTAGCATGCTCAGATCATGACCTCAATTTTTTTGTGTGTTCACATACATAATGCCATAAAAGTCACCAAGTTTCGTAACATCGCGATGAAGCTGTGATTTTTAAAAATTCAAAACATACTTTTTGTAATCAAAATTTATTGGTGTGTATATGTATAAAAGTGTGTTTGTATGTGTGTGTGTGTTGGTGGGTGTGTCTGTTTTGCACTCTAGATGTTGTAGAGTGTCACCCCTTTCCTGCGGTGTACTTTTTTTTTTTAGAATTGTGGCCGATTCGTAGATTGTACTTACAAAAATTCAGAGAATTTTTTTTTTGTATCAATTTCCCATTCATTTCCTATGGGTCGGTCATTTTTGACAGAAGAGCAAAAGTGTGACTCATTTTTTTACGACCACTTAAATTGCTCGAATCATGACCTCAATTTTTTTTGTGTGTTCACATACCCAATGCCATAAAAGTCACCAAGTTTCGTAATTTTCTGAAGAAGCTGTGATTTTTAAATATTCAAAACAGATTTCTTTAATCACAATTTATTGGTGTTTTTGTGTATAAAAGTGTGTGTGTATGTGTGTGCGTAGGGGTGGGTATGTCTGTTTTGCACTCTTGATGTTTTACAGTGTCACCCCTTCAATGCTGAGCACTTTTTTTCTGCATCGTGGCCGATTTGTAGATTGTACACACAAAAACGACCATTTTTTTACGACCACTTAAATTGCTCGAATCATGACCTCAATTTTTTTTGTGTGTTCACATACCCAATGCCATAAAAGTCACCAAGTTTCGTAACATTCCGATGAAGCTGTGATTTTTAAAATTTCAAAACAGAACATTTTTCGGTCAGAAATGACCGAAGAGCACCTGAGGGTTAAATGAATCACGCAAGATTTACTATGGTTTGCACTCGTCAATCTACTGGTGTTTATGCCATAATTTATCGCCCGAAAAAGCACGTCGCTAATGCTTTTTAAAATTGCGTTCTCACGCTAATTTGCCCTGTTTAGTAAATCAGGCCCCTAAAGTGCTAAAATGCAATGCTCACGGCGTAAAATGCTGAAGACAGTTTAACTCTCAGTTTTCTGTATGTGCATATTCACCAACAATTATAACATATGGCATCTGAAGTGCACTGAGGGTGCAGCCACTTCTACTGGCGGCTGGTGAGGGGCATTTTATCGAGGCTTTCTGTCGGATTTCATATGTTGTGATAAAAAGATACTGTATGAAGGTGCTGGAAAGGCCCAGTGCTCGCTGAATAAAGATGTGTGTGTGTGGAGGTGGTGGATGGGACTGTTTTTGGCTGCTAAATAGTGACAGATGCTCCTCACCCAGTTGTAACAGGATGTACTTTCCATTAACAGGCTGAAAGAACAAGTGGTCAGTAAAAGGAGACCCTCTTTAGACATCTCTAAACATTGATCTCACCCTCTCAAATGTATTTCATGTTAATGTTATATGAGGTTTGCAATAGTTGCAGCCCTGTTACTAAATTTTATTTGTGTGATTGTCTAGAAATACACATAAAAATAATATGTAATGATAATAATGGAAAACTATCCACAAGTTTCCGAGGGGCGCTCCTGTAAAAAATAAAGTGGGTGAAACTTCCGGTGACGCGGCGGGAGTAGCATTCCAATGGTATTTTGTGTGTTAGTTAGCGAAGAGGCTAGCTGTTTTTCTGAGAATTATTTTACTGTTTAAAGACGCAAATCTTTATGAGAGATGTCGTTACGGAGCTCAGGGGCAACATGTGCTGTTCGCGGTTGTATGTATAGCTGGACTAAACTAATTCAGTGGCTTAAACGTGATTGTTTTGAACATAAGCCGAAAACGAAATCAGAGTGATCCTGCCAACGACTGTAGTTTCCATCACCTCCCAAAAGACGACGAATCTTCCTGTGTACATTTGTTTAAATTCTTAATATTCTATAAACTCTATCAGCATGTGATTGGCTGTTCTCTACTGATGTTACACCTAAACTCAGGATCAAAGCCTGTGTTGACAGAATACCAAATGTGCCAGTTAATGTATTCAAGCAGCACATTCATTTATAATTTTGAATAAACTCCAAAGCACAATGACTAAGTGTGTATTTTTTATTTTAATTGTTTGTCAGCTCGCACAACTGTCTGTCACCATGCCTTGATGAGTATTGATTATTAATAATGTTATTATAATACTCCCAATCAACTACTGCGGAGGGTAAAGGTACTGTTATTTCACCCTTTTTAATTTCGTTGAGGTTGTGTTCCCACATCGTTAGCTAGTTTGGATCGCTATAACTTGAATGACTGTCAACTGTTGAATGAACGAGTGTCAAGCATGTCAAGTCGCGCTTTGTTTACTTCGAAACGGAAGTCGCGCCCACTTTTGACGCAAGGCCTCAACTTTCAACTTAAACTGTTATAATTTTAGGTTTAGTCAACTCATATATCCCAGTTGTATGGAAGCTTGCAACTTTTTATCTCGTAATTATGTGATTTAATTCACAATTTTGTGATGTAAGTCAGAAATATACGTTTAATTCTCACAATTCTGACTTTATAACATGCAATTTTAAGTTTATATCTTTAAGTCTGAGAAATAAAGTCACAATTATCTTTTAAAATGTTTTATTCTGTGGCGGAAACAAGCTTTCATAAAATTGTCACTTAATATAACTTCACATTTCAAGTTGACTAAACTTAAAATGAAGTTAGCACGAACAATTAATTTTTTTAATATATTTACAATAAATAATCAGCTAGAGTGAATGATTGAGACAGGAATGTAGTCAAAAGTTAAGAACAAATGGACTGAGTTTATGTAGACTGTTTTCTTGCAAATTAATTTATAATCAGTTGAACATTATATGGGGCATCATTTTAAGTATTTAAACCTAGCTACACTGTAAAAAATATTTTCAAGATTTGTTATCACAACATATTTTCTTTTGTCAAATCAACTTTATAATAATTTATTTAGTTGAGATAACTTATTATTTTGAGTTTCTGATGGTTACATTAATCTATTTCATTGTATTAACTCACTTTTTCTAGTTCAATCAACTTAAAATTTTAAGGCAACCCAGGTTACTTACTTTTTTTAAGTTAAACCAACAATATTTTTTATAGTGTAGTAATCATACAATTTTTTCTTTTGTCAGATCAACTTAAATAATTTATTTAGTTCAGATAACATATAATTTTGAGTTTCTGATGGTTAAATTAATCTCCTTCATTGTATTAACTCACTTTTTCCAGTTCAATGAACTTAAAATTTGAAGTCAACCAGGTTACTTACTTTTTTAAGTTAAACCAACAATATTTTTTTACAGTGTAGTAATCACACAATTTTTTCTTTTGTCAGATCAACTTAAATAATTTATTTAGTTCAGATAACATATAATTTTGAGTTTCTGATGGTTAAATTAATCTACTTCATTGTATTAACTCACTTTTTCCAGTTCAATGAACTTAAAATTTGAAGTCAACCAGGTTACTTACTTTTTTAAGTTAAACCAACAATATTTTTTTTACAGTGTAGTAATCACACAATTTTTTCTTTTGTCAGATCAACTTAAATAATTTATTTAGTTCAGATAACATATAATTTTGAGTTTCTGATGGTTACATTAATCTATTTCATTGTATTAACTCACTTTTTCCAGTTCAATCAACTTAAAATTTTAAGGCAACCAGGTTACTTACTTTTTTAAGTTAAACCAACAATATTTTTTTAAAGTGTAGTAATCACACATTTTTTTTCTTTTGTCAGATCAACTTAAATAATCTATTTAGTTCAGATAACATATAATTTTGAGTTTCTGATGGTTAAATTAATCTCCTTCATTGTATTAACTTACTTTTTCTAGTTCAATCAACTTAAAATTTTAAGGCAACCAGGTTACTTACTTTTTTAAGTTAAACCATCAATAATTTTTTACAGTGTACTTTTCATGTTAGATTAATTTCATCGCATATAAAAATCAAATAATCCATACATCCTCAAAAAATCTATTTTATTAAGAAAAAGAAAAACGTAATAGGTGACCAAAGCGTCCTGTAAAGTGTGTTGTGCAGAGCCTGATTGGTGTGAGGGAAACTGAAGCAGAAGGTGTGCTGGAAACAAGGTGTTTCAGGAAATTGTGTTGTGTATAGGGATCTCAGGAAAGAGGAGATTGTTCTGTGTTGCTCTTTAATGGAAGAGGGGATTTTGGAGGATGTGGTGTGTGTGTGTGTGTGTCCTGAGAGGCCAAAGCTCAAAGCGTAGGCAGGTTTGTTTGCTGTAAGTGGGAAACTCACGGCTTCCTGCAAGAGCTGCTCCAGGGAGTAGATTCTGGGTCGGTTTCCTCGCTCCCTGTCGATAACAATACTGTAGCTGGAGAGAAGAGAGAGAGAGAGTTATTTTCAATGCTGTGTGTAATGCTTGGCCGTCCGTGTCGAACTCCTACAGAGAGCTCACTTTCATTGGCTGAGACTGATTCTCTACAGCAACACTTCTGCTGCTGAACTCGGGGATTAAGGGAAGTGAGTGGGATCTCTGCTCATTTAACTGTGGTAGTGAGCATAATCCTATCGAAGTAACGTTTTGTGACTACTCTTTTGTACACTGTTGGATTATTAGATGCTCATATCAATATTTGGTGTCGAATTATTTACTTATGTGGCAAGTAGCGTTTAATAAGCGGATGATGTACATCCGGCAGCTTGTTACCTCAGAATAAACCCCTTCAGGGGCGGATGAAGACCTGATCACCCTGTCGGGGGTTATTCTGAGATAACAACCGGCCAGAAGTACATTATCCCTCAACTTCATACACAGAGTTGAACACTTGATGTCCTGATTAAGTCTTTTTGTGCCCCTGAATTGGTTCCAAATCAATTAATTTTGATAATCCAACGTAATACTGATGTGAAACATTTCCTAGAGATGGATAGGCACATTTGTCAAGTGCCTTAATGTTTAAAGGGAATCTTCACCCAAAAATATATCCCAAATGTATATGACTTTCATCTGTTGAACACAAACAGAGATTTATTAGAAAAGTAATCTATATCTGTGATTCCATATAATGCAAGACGACAGGATTCTCACAAGTTGATGCTTCGGAAACCACACAAAGTGAACACAACAGTAATCCATACGAGCCCGATTGATGAATCAATGTCTTCTGGAGTGAAACAATAGGTGTGTGTAAGAACTAGGGCTGGGTATTGAGACAAATTTCACAATTCGATTCGATTTCGATTACGATTCGATTCAATATGGATTATTTTGGATATCAGTTACAATAAATGGCCATTTTTCTCAAGGGAATCAAATCTCTTAACTAATGCTGTAAACTATGGGAGTCTATAGGCTTCATTAGCCTAATATGAAGGTAATAATTAACTGTTTTGTAGCTATACAAACACTTAAATTACACTTTTATTTATTTTTATAATAAGAAGATTATATGAAATATAAACATTTAAATGGTGGCTGTCATAAAAACTTGCCAGATTTATTCAAATATGCATTAAATATTGAAGAACATTAAGATTATAATGCATATGTAATATGGTGTACATATTTAGCAAAATGCTCCTCTCTAGAGTTATTTTTTTCTAGCTGATTAACGAGTTTATGTGGGTTTTCTGAGGTAAATATGACGATGACATTGATTACAAGCTGTTTAATTGACGTCTTTCTACGGTTGAAACACTGATTGAGCGAATCAATGTGACATGATACGGATTTCGATAAGTTGTACTCTATCTTTTAACACACTTTCATGTTTATTTGGCGCTGTAACTGGTATTATTAAGCCAGAAGAGAGATCAGCGCTGCTGCTTCTCCAGAGTGATCTCACGCCACAGCGCCAAAACACTATTTATGGTTTTGAATTTCTAAAGAAAATGGACGTAATTTGAAAATTGAGACTTTGTTTCATATCAATAGTAACAAAGGACAAAGATTATTGCAATTTTTTGGATGTGCGCAGCCGCGATACATTGTCCCATTCATTCAAATGAAACAGGATGACTAATCGATTCATGAGATTTAAGAATTGATATCGGTCCGTAAAAATGAGAATCGATTAATATCGAGAAATCGATATTTATTACCCAGCCCTAGTGAGAACAATATGAATATATCGCTTCTGGCTAACCGTCAAACGCAGGTTCGTGAGTTCTCGCTTGACGTTGTGAAATGTACAAGATGTGACGGTCCTCTGTGTTTCGACATTACTTTTTGCGCCAATTCCAACGCTCTTAACGTCACGTCTAACGCTGCTCTCATGAAGCCATGCATGACAGCAGGCTGGAAGTGATGGTTCATGGGTTAAAAATGATCAAATATTAGTATTTTTCTCATTTAAGAAGACATCGATTCCCCAACTGGACTAGTTTTTGAAACGTCAACTTTACGACTCTTAAACTTGCATAACATGGACTCAGAGACGGCATCATTTCCTAAAAAACGTGGGGCATATGGGGGCAAATTATGAGCGAATGTTCATTTTGGAGTGGAATATCCCTTTAATAGTGGTATATTTTTTGATGTATGGCTACTCAATTATGGCAAAAATCATAAATCACTCGTCTATATCATGATTATTTAACAATTTTTGGTGGGCGATACGATCAAAGTCTTATTGATATCCGTACATTTTCACAATTATCGATACTTTAGCCAAAAATAACTACAATAAGGATGAAGAAACTGATTATAAACAGAAAGGATAAAAATGAAAATACAAATTAAATAATAATTTCAGGAAGATGTTCTCACAGTGGTATTCAGATATGTAATAGCCTACACAAAAAATGTAATAATCAAATGTAAAATAGTCTTACTGAACACATAAAATATAGATTAATCCTTATTAAAGCAACTTAAGTTATTCAGTCAAGATCAGTAAGTGATTGTCATTTGTTTATGATTTATGACAGACTGAAGCCGGTTTATTAGGCTGATGTCACTTTAAGAGCTAATGCACGGATCCAATACACTGTTACACGCGTTAAAATAAGTCCATTTATTTATTTGATAAGTAGCTGTTTAATAAGCAAGATAGTCATTAATGCAAAATAAATTCATATAGGATCATTCAAGACCCCTCTGCTTTGTCCTGATCCGCCTTTTTAATGAACTTGTTTTTAATGAAGAACAATTGCGCCGAATTCCACACATTTCCTTCCAAAATCTAAGTATGAAACAGTAAATATGGCGTAAGGGTGTTTGTGAGGCTCTACACGTACACATCGGGCGAATCCAGAGGCTGCACACGGGCGGCGTACAGAAGCTCGTCTTCTTTGCTGATCAGGACCTTGAGTCCGACGGTCAGAAGCTCTTTGGTCAGGACACAGTTTGGAGGAGCTGAAAGATGAAAAGCATCAACTCAAAACACAGTTTCACAGAACAGACGAGGACTTCCTGTCATGGCAAACACCACCTGTCTCCTGTTGGTCTGTAGTCTATAAGACTAGTCTTAGTTTTAGAATTAATTCATTTCAGAATTTAAATTTCCTGAGAATTTACTCTCCGTCATCCATGTTCTTGTCTTTCTTTCTTCATTTGAAAAGAAATTACGTTTTTTTGAAGGAAACATTCCAGGATGTTTCTCCACATAGTGACTTCAATGGGGTTCAATGGGTCGAAGGTCCAAACAGTTATTTGTTTATTTATTTATAAATGGCGCTTGACTCTTTGTAAACACTCGGTCGTTTTTTCCGCCTTCGTCCCGCTTGACCTTTGAATGTGATTCTGTAATGTGTAGCGCATCACAGCTAGTGCAAGACAAGCATTTGTGGTTAAAAAGTATAAAAATGTTTATTTTAGTTATAAAATGGCGGATGGTTTGTCTAGATAAGACTCTTATTCCTCGGCTGGATCGTGTCGAGACTTTGAAGCTGCACTGAATCTCACATTTGGACCTTCGACCCGTTGGAACCCATTGAGGTCACGATATGGAGAAACATGGTGGAATATTTTCCTCAAAAAACTGTAATTTCTGTTCGGATGAAGAAATTCATTTTTTATAAAGTGGTGAAGAGTAAATTATCAGGACATTACTAATCCTCTAGTAATTCAACTAATGCTTTAACTATCCATTTCCTAATGTAAGTTTTGTTAAACAGTTGTTCACACCCGGAGCAAATCTGCCATTTTTTGTATGGTGTTTGTATAAAAATTAGGGCTGTCAGTTAAACGCGTTATTAACGGTGTTAACGCAAACTCATTTTAACGGTGTCAGTTTTTTTATTCACGCGATTAACTGTCTTTTTGTCCAAGCAAACTTTGTAGTTTTCTTCACATGCTTTTGCAACAGAACGGCGCTGCGCTCTGAAACCCATTCATTTCAATGGCTTGCGCCGCACGAGGACATTTTGTTGCTTCGTCGACCAAAGCGCAAGCGGATCTGGCTAGACCAGAAACAAAACAACAGGCACGCCGCACAAATTCGTTTGGGCTTGCGAGCCGGCCAAATAGTTGATTAATTTTATGTTTTGAGTGGATAACGAGCGCGAGACGCTGAAATGGATGCCAATAAGATTCTGAATGGAAAGTTTAGTTTACTAAAAAGTTGCCAAATGGTAGTGATCTGTGTGTTTTGTCGTTGTGAACTGAGCTATCATCATCGCAGCACGTCCAGTCTGAAATACCACTTGATTGCCAAGCGCACACACATACACAAACACACAGATGATGCGAATTCTCCACCCCCTCGTCAATATCAGGACCTCATCAGTATTTCTTTCACACTTTTATTGATGGACAGTGTTACATTGTGTGAGAGATTATTTGCTCCAAGTAAGAATGTTAGTGTGAATTTGAACACAGTATATGCCAACGTTGTTTTCAATAAAAACATTTGCACAAAGCAAGCCGATCCACTTTTCCATGCTGCTAAAAGCAATAAACTGAGAAAAAAATAATGTGAGAAAAAGAAATCAAGAGATATTTAGAAAAGATAAAAAAAATGTGCGATTAAACACGAGTCAACTACGACACTAATGCGATTAATCGTGAGTTAAATACAACATTAATGCGATTAATCGCGAGTTAACTACAACACTAATGCGATTAATCGTAGTTCGCGAGTTAACTACGACACTAATGCAATTAATCGCGAGTTTACTACGACATTAATGCGATTAATCGCGAGTTAACTACGACACAAATGCGATTTAATCACGGGTTGACTACGAAATTAATGTGATTAATCGTGAGTTAACTACGACACTAATGCGATTACGCGTGAGTTAACAACGACACTAATGCGATTAATCGCGAGTTAACTACGACACTAATGCGATTAATCGTGAGTTAACTACGACATTAATGTGATTAATCGCGAGTTAACTACGACACTAATGCAATTAATCGCGAGTTTACTACGACATTAATGCGATTAATCGCGAGTTAACTACGACACAAATGCGATTTAATCACGGGTTGACTACGAAATTAATGCGATTAATCGTGAGTTAACTACGACACTAATGCGATTAATCGTGAGTTAACTACGACTTTAATGTGATTAACCGCGAGTTAACTATGACATTAATGCGATTAATCGTGAGTTAACTACGAAATTAATGCAATTAATCGCGAGTTAACTACGACACTAATGCAATTAATCGCGAGTTTACCACAACATTAATGTGATTAATCGCGCGTTAACTACGACACTGATGCGATTAATCACGGGTTAACTACGACACTAATGCGATTAATCGCGAGTTAACTACGACACTAATGCAATTAATCGTGAGTTAACTATGACATAAATGCGATTAATCACGAGTTAACCACGACACTAATGCGATTAATAGTGAGTTAACTACTACATTAATGCGATTAATTGCGAGTTAACTACAACATTAATGCGATTAATCGCGAGTTAACTACGACACTAATGCGATTAATAGTGAGTTAACTACGACATAATGCGATTAATAGTGAGTTAACTACGACATTAATGCAATTAATCGTGAGTTAACTATGACATTAATGCGATTAATCGCGAGTTAACCACGACACTAATGCGATTAATAGTGAGTTAACTACGACATAATGCAATTAATAGTGAGTTAACTACGACATTAATGCAATTAATCGTGAGTTAACTATGACATTAATGCGATTAATCGCGAGTTAACCACGACACTAATGCGATTAATAGTGAGTTAACTACGACATTAATGCGATTAATTGCGAGTTAACTACGACACTAATGCAATTAAACGTGAGTTAACTATGACATTAAAGCGATTAATCACGAGTTAACCACGACACTAATGAGATTAATAGTGAGTTAACTACGACATTAATGCGATTAATTGCGAGTTAACTACGACACTAATGCAATTAATCGTGAGTTAACTATGACATTAAAGCGATTAATCACGAGTTAACCACGACACTAATGAGATTAATAGTGAGTTAACTACGACATTAATGCGATTAATTGCGAGTTAACTACGACACTAATGCAATTAATCGTGAGTTAACTATGACATTAATGCGATTAATCGCGAGTTAACTACGACACTATTGCGATTAATAGTGAGTTAACTACGACATTATGCAATTAATTGCGAGTTAACTATGACACTAATGCAATTAATCGTGAGTTAACTATGACATTAATGCGATTAATCGCGAGTTAACTACGACACTATTGCGATTAATAGTGAGTTAACTACGACATAATGCGATTAATTGCGAGTTAACTACGACACTAATGCAATTAATCGTGAGTTAACTATGACATTAATGCGATTAATCACGAGTTAACCACGACACTAATGCGATTAATAGTGAGTTAACTATGACATTAATGCGATTAATTGCGAGTTAACTACGACATTATTGCGATTAATCACAAGTTAACTATGACATTAATGCGATTAAATATTTGAATCGTTTGACAGCACTAATATAAATGTGTCTTTGCAGTGTGGACAACCACCAAACAATGAAAAAAATGCATTCACTCCAAAACACAAACACTCTCAACAATCAAGCCACAACACTTGATGAATTTTAACCAAAGTATGTTCCAAACTTAACATGAAGCCCCTAAACACCTTTAATGTAAGTTTTGTAAAACATGTTCAAACCTGGAGCAAATCTGCCATTTGACGAGTCGTTTCCCTCCTCATCCTCCTCCGAGAAGCTGCTGTCCTCCCCCAGGTGGAAGCCCTCGTCCGCTGCGAAACTCTCCATCAGACGGCTGACCGCTCGACCCTTCGACTGCAACACACACACACAGAAAACTCATGGTCAGCTAAAACTGTTCTCGCGTGTCAGAGCGTGTGAACATCACCTTTACATGAGTTACTTCTTACTCAGCAAGAGAAGACAAGTGTTAAATGTGAACGTCTGCATGTTTACCTCTCGGAGCCTGGTTCTGCGAGTGCCGCTGTTATCGTCGCTGTCTGCAGACTGGGCCTCGGCCGACGCGTAACTTCTCCTCTGCCAGAACCAAAACGTCAAAGATTACTTGCAGAGTCCAATTGTATTCAACCTATAGTAAGTACATGTAGTTGACTAATATTACTCGGTACCTAAATATATAATTACACTGTAACAATGACACCTTAAAATAAAGTGTAACGCTTTATTTTAAGGTGTCCGACTCGTGTTACAGTGTACCAAGTAATTTTACTTTTGGTTTAGGCTTAGTTGTATGTAATTATGCATAATGTATAGTTATTACTAGTTACTAAATGTAACATGCAACAAAGACACTGTAAAATAAAGTGGTAATTTTTTTAAATCATTAAAGAATAAAGTAAACAAACTAAACAAGTTGTCTCCTATAAATTAAGATCCATAGGTCTTATCTTAACACTTTCACTGGTTCACTGGTAGTGTTTTTTAAAACAAAACACTAGAAATTAGAAATAGCTCAAATCAATTCCACTTAGTCCAGTACTATAGAAGTAAAACTGACAAAATGAGTAATATAATCGCAATTCCACTTCTAAGTGGTGTACTGTCTTAGCATTTCGTGGTAATGCAAAACCACAAATTATTAAAGGGATAGTTCACCCAAAAATGAAAATGATCCCATGATTTATTTGCCCTCAAGCCATCCTAGGTGTGTATGACTACCTTCTTTCAGACGAATACAATTAGAGTTATATTAAAAAATGTCCTGGCTATTGTGTTCGTCTGTAAGAAGGTAGTCATACACACCTAGGATGGCTTGAGGGCGAGTAAATCATGGGATTATTTTCATTTTTGGGTCAACTATCTCTTTAAGTTATTGAAGGTTAAACCATTACACGTAAATGTGTGTATCTCTGTATAAAAATATTCACTACTACTCTATTACTCAACATTAAGGGTGTAATGATCCCGATTCGATACACGTCACGATACTGAACTCATGATACCATATTATTGTGACACTCCAAGACATGTTCTGACTAGATATATTTAACATAACGTAGGACACTTTACACGGGTAACATCTGGCATTATCAGGACCCACAAATATTGCATTATAATACATTATATTCAACATAATATATAGCAGTTTAATGTAGTGCTGACACTAAAACTCGGAAAACTTAAGTAATTTTTATTTCGTGTGAACGATCTACACTACATATTCTCACTATCCACCATACATATTGTTGCATTTTGTATGGCAATATATTGTGATACCCCTAATTAGCATGTTTGTTTAAATGAGCTGAAGATCACCGCTCACCGTGGCTCTGAGCATGGAGCTCTTCCTCGTGGCTCTCTTCAGCCTCTCGCTGCCGCTGCTGGGGAACGAGAGGAGGCTGCTGGTCTTCCTGTAGTGACCCGGCCAGTGCTTGTCCTGCAGTCTGGGCCGGCCTGGCCTCCTTCTGACCCCGAGAGGCTTGGGGACGGGCACGGGTCTACAGGGGGTCCGTCGCTTCACCTTCACGTCCCCTTCTGTTACGCCACGAAACTGAGATCCTGAACGGGTTTCACCAAATACAAAGAGTTAGAATTAACGAATAGAAACACGCAAGTAATGTAAAGTCACGTTTCCACCGCAGGAACTAGGGGGTTTCGGCCGGTACTTGGTGTGTTTAGGGACTAAATGAAGTTCTGGGTAACTATTATTAGGTGGTACTTTTCAGTTCAGGAACTTTCAGAGGTGGGACTTGGACGCTGAACATGCTGATTGGTTGAGCTCATGCCGCATTTTGATTGGTTGACTCCACAAAGCATTTTATTTCAACCACCATTTTTATAAAATCTGTCGCGGTGCGTGCAGTAACAGTTGCTATTCGAATCATCAATGGAGTTTAAAAACGGCCGATGACGAGGTTCAGGATTTATTCAATTCAGTGGCAGCAGTCCTGCGTCACCGGACTAATTTGTTAAAAAAGTTCCTGTGACAAATTGTTCAAATTGTTATTTTGGTGGAAACGCACCTTAACTTTGCAACTACATGTCAACTAACTCTCATTAGAGTATTAGTATACTCTCTGCTTAATATCTGCTAACTCTTTATTGTTAAGCTCCACCAAAATACATGCTACTGACTATAAGTAACTTTGCAACTACATGTCTAAACTTATTCTAACTCTAACCATACCACTCTACTAATACTCTTCCAATACTCTAATACTAATACTCTTCCAATTCTAATACTCTACAAATACTCTACCAAGACTCTACCAAGACTAATACTTTACTAATACTCTACCAATACTAATACACTTCTAATACTCTACCAATACTAAAACTCTACTAATACTCTACCAATACTAATACACTTCTAATACTCTACCAATACTAAAACTCTACTAATACTCTACCAAGACTAATACTCTACCAATACTCTACAAATATTAATACTCTACTAATACTCTACCAATATTAATACTCTTCTAATACTCTACCAATACTAAAACTCTACTAATACTCTACCAATACTAATACTCTACCAATACTCTACCAATACTAAAACTCTAAAAATACTCTACCAATACTAAAACTCTACTAATACTCTACCAATACTAAAACTCTACTAATACTCTACTAACACTCTACCAATACTAATACTCTACCAATACTCTACCAATATTAATACTCTACTAATACTCTACCAATATTAATACTCTACTAATACTCTACCAATACTAAAACTCTACTAATACTCTACCAATACTAATACTCTACCAATACTCTACCAATACTAAAACTCTAAAAATACTCTACCAATACTAAAACTCTACTAATACTCTACCAATACTAAAACTCTACTAATACTCTACTAATACTCTACCAATACTAATACTCTACTAATACTCTACCAATACTAAAACTCTAAAAATACTCTACCAATACTAAAACTCTACTAATACTCTACCAATACTAAAACTCTACTAATACTCTACTAATACTCTACCAATACTAATACTCTACTAATACTCTTATAATACTCTACCAATACTAATACTCTTCTAATACTCTTCCAATACTCTACCAATACTAATACTCTTCTAATACTCTACCAATACTTAACTCTACTAATACTCTACCAATACTAATACTCTACTAATACTCTACCAATACTAAAACTCTACTAATACTCTACCAATACTAATACTCTACTAATACTCTACCAAAACTAAAACTCTACTAATACTATACCAATAATAATAATCTACTAATACTCTACCAATACTCTACCAATACTAATACTCTTATAATACTCTACCAATACTAAAACTCTAATATTCTACCAATACTCTACCAATACTAATACTCTTCTAATACTCTTCTAATACTCTACCAATACTAAAACTCTAATACTCTTCCAATACTAATACTCTTCTAATACCCTACCAATACTAAAATTCTACTAATACACTACCAATACTAAAACTCTACTAATACTATACCAATACTAATACTCTACTAATACTAAAACTCTAATACTCTACCAATACTCTACCAATACTAATACTCTTCTAATACTCTACCAATACTAATACTCTTATAATACTCTTATAATACTCTACCAATGCTAAAACTCTACTAATACTCTACCAATACTAATACTTGTCTAATACTCTACTAATACTCTACCAATACTCTTCCAATACTAATACTCTACCAATACTCTCCCAATACTCTCCTAATACTCTACTAATACACTACTAGTACTCTTCTAATATTCTACTAATACTCTTCTCTACTAATACTCTTCGAATAATAATACTCTACTAATACTGTACTAATAGAGAGCTAAAAAAACTCTTTAATGAGAGTTAGTAGTAGTAGTAGATTGAATGTTACTTATAGTACTGGTACACTATAGGTAAATGATGTGTTAAAGGGACCATCAAAATAAAGTGAAAGCAGAAGCACAGCTGAGGTGTGTCTATCGCTGGGCTTTTCGATGGCCTTTACCATAAAGTTCTTGTCGTTCCCGCTTAATCTTCGCCTTCTGATTGGCCTCCAGTTTGACCACAGAGAAAGGGGACGGGCCGGTGACCGAGAGATCCCTCAGCGCCGAGACCTTGATCTCGCGTCCCTCCTCGCTGGCGTAACTGCCTTCCTCTTCATCTTCCTCTGTTTCGTGAAAAAGGCATTTCAGTGTGGCTGTTCACATCTGACTTTAATAATTATGAAATATCCAAACATAATATATTGGATTTACTATAAAGAAATGGTTGCAGTACAACTACATCTTGATCTGATTGGGAAATCTTCCCGTGCAAACATTTGTACACCATTTGGAATAAGGAGTTATGGTGTTGCTGTCATGGTTTCTGAGGCGCTTAAGTAGCAAGTAAACTACACATCATGCGAACAACTTCATATCCAGTGAAGTCATTGATATTTAAAACGTTTACTGACATATTCTCAACACAAAGTCTGCACACATTTGGACAAGCAATCGTACAAGCTTATTTTGTCCATTAGATCCAAGACCTGAAGAAACCCACACATTTACCTGTCATAGACCCTCCCCTCGAAGAAATCAGGACAGAAGTGTTTGAAAGTGGACAAAAGAGACGGATTAAAAAAAACAGGTGTGAACGGGAATGTGTCTCCCTCGCCCACTTGTGATCCGATCCGCCAAAACACCAGACGCCAATCTTAACGCCAGGTGTAAACAGAGTCGAAGCTTTTCTTAGTTTTCCGAGACGAGACTCTCACCTTGCTCAGAGGACTCGCTCTCCAGAGGAGACGTCTCTCCGTCCTCGTCCACTCCGGGGCCCCTGGCCTGCGGGATCCTGGACCCTGGCAAACAAGCTGCTGATCCGGGACTTTTCTTCCTTTCCCTTTTCACCGCCACTGGCTCGTGCCTCTTCCAGCACTCCTGTGTCCCGCTGTCCCCACTCGTGGCTGGGAGAGAGTGCAAGACACAATCACTTCCATGAATACACAACTTTATACTATATCTGAAAACAAAACATGTCATTAATCGCAAAAGTCCATAATTTAGGCATAAAGTTTCAATACTCAGAGTGTGTATTTTGGTTATTCTGACTACACAAGTAATCGACAGATAGACTTCATCACTGTTGGTATCCTGTGGTGTGATGTTGCATTTATCAGACGATTACAAGTAGGGATGGTCACCATATCGGTATCGGCCGATATATGTTTATTTTTATTGTTATCGGCCCGATAAGAAAATTTGACCGATGTATTAAAGCCAATAAGTCCTTCAGCTGAGATACTTCAGATGCACACTGTTCAACATGATGGTTTTGAATTGCTTGAAAAATGATTGAAATCTCTTCGAAAAAGGAAAATACAGTAAAGTGCAACTATCGGTTACAAAAAATTAACATAGAATTAACTATAGAACATTATAATTGAGTGTTTGGGACATGGATTTTAATGGTGAGACTTTTGTTTTCGTAATCAGGCTCTCAAAAATTATATAAAAATTTGGATTTAGATTTATCTGTAAATATATCGGTTATCGGCTTTCAAATATAAAGAATTATCGGTTATCGGTATCGGCCAAATTTTTCATATTTGCATTGCTAAAAAACGCTGTAAATTCTAAATGACTAAAAAAATGTTTACAATACGATTTTTTTTTTTACAATTTAGTTCTTCATTGTTACATAATCTTAGCTTTGTCTGTTGAAGCCATTTTTACCTGTATCGCTCAGGCTCTCGGACTCGTTGGCTCCGCTGAGCTGTGAGGAATCCCTCTTAGAGTTGCTGAGGCCTGTGTACAGGCTCTTAGAGGACAAGGAAAACTCGGGGTCCCTGGAAGCAGCTCCAGGTGTGTGTCGTCCACCCGACGCCTTCTGCTTGAGGTGAGTTATCTGTTGATCATTCTTCCTATAACACTGTGACTTCATCTAAGAGGGAGCAACAGGAGGGGTAGACATTATGAGGCCAACATCAAGACTTGTTCTGGGCTACTTTCTGATCCCACACTGTTCACATCAGGGTTTCACTCACCCGCCAATTTGGCTACTAAATTTCTTATTCAAACTAAATTCTGTCATCAATCTCTTCCTCTTTCATCCTTTTCACCCAAAAATGTATTTTAAGTGGAAAGATCAATACAGTACAAAGAACATCATGAAAATGTAGGATGTTGGAAAATAAAGTCTTTCCTGTTCACCAAATGCTTTTAAATCTCCGCTATTGCTTCAATGCAAATGAACAAGCGCGGCGTTATTTGTTGCGTAGTGAAGTGTGTGTTCAAGTAAGCCAGATATGATCAGATTCTACGCGATACACTGTTTAATATATCATGATGACTCACGAGTATTTGCGCGAAATCTGGCAGATTTGGCTTACACAAACTTCCCCAGCAAAGTAAGTAAACATAATAAGTAACACGCCGAATTGGCCAGCACAGTTGATTTTTACCCGCATTTTGGCGAATGTTAATTTCAAATATGGGAGCAAGAGAAGAAAGGATTAAGACACTGACCTGTGAAGAGCTGAGACGGCCAAACCCTCGATTGGACAGTTTTTTCTTCTTCTTCTGAGACTCTCCAGCTCCCCGATGCTCCTCTGCTAGTGGACTTAGCCCCGCCCCCACCAACCTGTCAATCAAACAACAGACGAGGCTTTTAAAGACAGTGCTGGATATTTTCATTCTTCCCGCAATCCATTTATGCATATCCGTTACGTCATTACCGCTGCGTCTTTTTGAGTCATTGAATCATTCACTCAGTATAAGTGTTTTGTGACAAAATCAAGTCTAATTTCTGCACTAATGACAACAAAACAACCTTTTGTTTATTTTATTTTGAAGCTTTCGAGTTTGAATTTTAACAATAGCATACACAAATTAGGATAATTCTTCAGTGTTAAACTGAGGCTACGTTCACACTGTCAGTCCAGATCCAATGGTTTGTGTGTCCGATCAGAAATCTGATCTTTTCTGTTCGTTCGGCGCTTTGAAACAACACGGCTTCGTTTCAACAAAGTTCCGGCGGCAACTTTCCTATAACGACGTTTACATTTCACAAGGCGCAAGTAAGTCACATAAACCACGCGAAATCCGATCAGAGCGGGCCGACTGAAACGGGTTTACAGAAATGTGATTGTAGCTTGAAACAGATTTGTAAAAATCCCATTTCACGTCGAAAATGAACAAAAAATGGATTTGGACTCACAGTCTGAATGTAGCCGGACTTAATAATTCATCTCGGCCACAAAAACGTCCCAATTCGTTCAGCGCTGCTCCGTCATTCAGATTTAAAGGGCTGGTGGATTATGATTTGACTTTTCTAACTTTAGTTATGCTACGTTCACACCGGACGCGAATAGCGCGTCAAATTCGTGTCTACCGTGCCTAGTTTGACGCTTGACCACTTTGTGTTAATTCGCGCGTAAAGAGTGAAACTGATGCGCGTTAAAAAACAAAAGTTTAAAGTGAAATTTACGTGTCAGAATCTAAATCCGTTGGCGGCCATTTTTTTATGTCGACCGAGCATTCATGGAGAGAGTCACCGCTCTGTATTTGCTCTGGAGAGGCGAACTATTTGACGAGTTTCACCATTTGCTCGCTCGAGGAGCTGCGCCTGGACGACGGACGCTGTCAGCGGTACTTCTATGAAGGTAGATTTGTGTCTTTATTATTCAATCAAAAAAAATGTTGCTTCAATCAAAAAAAATATTTTCAATTAAAAAAACCTTCACTTCAATGAAAAAAAAACTTTTCAATCAAAGAAAAAAAGTATTTGAATCCAAAAATATATTTGAGACTCAAAAAAATACATTTGAACACTGCTTTTCTTTGATTGAAAATGTTTTCTTTGATAGAAGTCCGGTTTTTTTTGTTTAAAGCAACCTTTTTAATTAAAGTAACATTGTTTTTTGATTGGACCATATAATGGGTAGGACATTTGTGTCTTTATCATTCAATCAAAAAAGAAGTTGCTTCAAACAAACAAACAACAGAATCAATACAAAAGTCACTTCAATGAAAAGATAAACCTTTTTTTAAATATAGAAAATCATTTTTGAATGCAAATAAAATATTTGAGACTCCAAAATTGCATTTGAACACCTTTTGTTTTAATTGAAAATGTTCTCTTTGATTGAAGTAATCTTTTTTGTGTTTGGGCCATACATGGGTAGGACATTTGTGTCTTAATCATTCAATTCCAAAAAAGTTGTTTCAATCAAAAAAAAATATTTTCAATCAAAGAAAAAAACTTTTCAAAAGCAAAAAAATTTTATTTACCTCGTGTATAAAAAAAGTATTGAAGAGAATGTGTGTTTTCGTTGTTTTTGTTTTTTATTTGAAGTGAAAAAAATTTAGAATTTCAAATTGTTTTGATTGAATCCTTTTTTTTTTTTTGAAGTGCAAAAAGTTTTGAAGTTCAAACTTTTTTTTGATTGAATCATTTTTGACACAAACGTTCCGCAGTGGGCGGGTGCTTCTCTGTTGGTCAGACATGTTTGATTGACAAGTGTCTACACCAACGACATCTTTCTGACAAAAAAGTCATGTTCGCCACTCGCCAGCAAGTTTTACCCCTACAGGATATTATCTATTTATCATTTGATCTTGTGGCTCTAAGTATCGCGCCAGCCACACCAGCCACACGATCTCTCACTGTTTACTATCAGAAACTCCGATTAATACACGAGAGCACACAGACAGTGTTATCCTGCTCTTGTGTACGGGCGTCAGTTTGGTTTGGTTTGAAATGTGCTGGGGGACGGAGAGACGTATTCGGAAGAGCATTTTCAAAAGTGCTGGGTACAATGACGCATTCATTATTTTTTTCTCTTTCGAGTAGGCGCCGCGAGATGTTTCAAAAGTGGTGGGTACAAAATCGACCCTGGCAAAAAAGTGGTGGGGACATGCATACATATCTATGGGGACATGTCCCACCCGTCCCCCAGCCACAAGATCTCTCACTGTTCTCATAGCCGACACTCCGATTGATGCACGAAAACACAGAGACAACGCAACCCTGCACTTATTTACCCTTTTGTCATCTTATCTTATATTTTATTAGCTCGTTTGTCCCATAATGGAGCACGTTTCGTGGTGCGCCAGTCACAAGATTTCGCAATATTTCTCATAGTTGCGTGATTCTCCGATTGACATTCTGAAGAAGAATGATTTTGACCACTCCATTAAGTTTTTTTTTTTAATAAAGCCTTTCTTTAAAGTGAATTTCGTTTTTAATAAATTGCATCTTGATTTTAATCAATGTTTGATCAACCAATTCCCAGGATTTAATAAATAAGAAGCAAAGCAAACATATAGGCATAGCAATAAAATCATGAACTTTTTGCTTTGCACGTTTCTCAAAGACATGATAAATAGGCTACATCTAGAAAGGTAGAAATGTCTAGCCTAATTTTAAACAAAACAATTCAAAACGAAAATAAATATTATTCTACTCTCAGATTATATTTAATCCATATGAAATGAGCATTTCTCTCGGCGCGTTCACTACTGCGAAGATGGCTCCAATACGGGCAAAAAGAGCAAATAAAATATAAGAAAAAATTACAAAAAGGTAGATAAGAGATGGATTGGACTTTATTTGCTCTCATCTGAGTGTCTCATGTAAACAGTGAGAGATCTTGTGGCAGGCGCGACGCTAGGTGACGCGCACGCTCCATTATGGACAAAAAGAGCAAATAAAAATATAAAATAAGATGACAAAAAAGATACTTAAGAGCAGGATTGCACTGTCTGTTTTCACATGTGCATCAATCGGAGTGTCTGATGGGTGTAATAAGAGATCTTGTGGCTGGTATGGCTGGCGATGCTTAGAGCCACGACCCGTTCGCATAAAAAGAGCGATTAAAATATAAGATCAGACGATAAATGGGTAAATGAGATCTGTATTGCACTATGTGTGCTTTCGTGTAGCTACCATTAGGTGTAAATAGAGAGAGATCGTGTGGCTGGTGTGGCCGGCGCAACGCTTAATAGAGCCATGCGAGCGCACTCCCATACGCATAAAAAGAGCAAATAAAATATAATATAAGATGACAAAAAAGTAAATAAGAGATGGATTGCACGTTATTATACGCGCTCCAATACGGGCAAAAAGAACGAATAAAATATATGATCAGATGATAAATGTGTAAATAAGATCTGTATTGTACTGTATGTGTGCTCTCGTGTAGGCCTACCATTAGGAGTGTCTTATAGGTGTAAACAGTGAGAAATCTTGTGGCTAGGCAGGTGAAAAGCGTTTGGTTAATGGTGAATATTGACCTGTGCGTACCGTTCTGTCGGGGAATATGCGCTGCATTTACTGTAAATATTGTGTAAGTTCGAGTGGCAGGCGCTATATAATGCAGTGCATATAAGGCACATATATCCGTGGCCGGTCGAGTAGCAGATCCCCCTGCCAGGCAAAGATTTTATCCCCTCTAAAAAAGCTGCTGGCGAGTGGCGAACATGACTTTTTTGTCAGAAAGATGTCGTTGGTGTAGACACTTGTCAATCAAACATGTCTGACCAACAGAGAAGCACCCGCCCACTGCGGAACGTTTGTGTCAAAATGATTCAATCAAAAAAAAGTTTAAACTTCAAAACTTTTTGCACTTCAAAAAAAAAAAAAAAGGATTCAATCAAAACAATTTGAAATTCTATTTTTTTTTCACTTCAAATAAAAAACAAAAACAACGAAAACACACATTCTCTTCAATACTTTTTTTATACACGAGGTAAATAAATTTTTTTTTGCTTTTGAAAAGTTTTTTCTTTGATTGAAAATATTTTTTTTTTGATTGAAACAACTTTTTTGGAATTGAATGATTAAGACACAAATGTCCTACCCATGTATGGCCCAAACACAAAAAAGATTACTTCAATCAAAGAGTACATTTTCAATTAAAACAAAAGGTGTTCAAATGCAATTTTTGGAGTCTCAAATATTTTATTTGCATTCAAAAATGATTTTCTATATTTGAAAATGTTTATTTTCATTGAAGTGACTTTTGTATTGATTCTGTTGTTTGTTTGTTTGAAGCAACTTCTTTTTTGATTGAATGATAAAGACACAAATGTCCTACCCATTATATGGTCCAATCAAAAAACAATGTTACTTTAATTAAAAAGGTTGCTTTAAACAAAAAAAACCGGACTTCTATCAAAGAAAACATTTTCAATCAAAGAAAAGCAGTGTTCAAATGTATTTTTTTGAGTCTCAAATATATTTTTGGATTCAAATACTTTTTTTCTTTGATTGAAAAGTTTTTTTTTCATTGAAGTGAAGGTTTTTTTAATTGAAAATATTTTTTTTGATTGAAGCAACATTTTTTTTGATTGAATAATAAAGACACAAATCTACCTTCATATACTTCCGCCTGTCCCGCGCCCAGTTTGATGACCTGTTGTCCCGCATCGGAGCGAGGATCACCCTCGCCCTCATCCATCTAATCTGTCATTTATTTTTGTTTTGATGATAAATAGAGCCAGCTTCCAAAAGTTATTAACCTGTCCTGTGATTATTTTCTCTCTCACGTCCAGACACGAACTTATGCACATGTATGTTTGTTGTCTTTACATTATAATAATATTTAATATAATCTAGATATGGAATGAATAACATTCAAT